TAACACAGAGAGTGATGTGAACGAATGTACTTAAGAGGCAGAAAAGAGTTTTTATGGCTTGGAGATCAAATTTGAAACAGATGAGCGAATGAAAAGAAATGGGACTGGCCAATCAAAAGGGGTTTAAATAGGTGAGCTAATCTTATCATGCTAATCTGTTCGAACAGGTGAGTACGTGATAACACCTATCAAATCGGCCTGTATCAAGTTGATACTTGCTCATGTTATTCTCCGTGATGTCGTGTATTCGCGGCCTCACGCCTATCAGCTCGTCCATTGCACCTGTGCACCTCTTAGGCCGCGTTCATAGTTCGCGACTCCGGAGATTAGGATAGTACGCGACAATGAAAAACATATGTATTGACGGGGAGATTAGGATAGTAGTAGAGTAGGAGATTGCGCTGACAAGATTAGATACGTATCGATTGAAATCGCCGGAGAGTAGTAGATTGCGATATTACGATAGTAGGATAGTAGTAGAGTAGGAGATTAGGATAGTAGTAGATTAGGATAGTGCGCTGACAAGATTAGATATGTATTGATCTATTCGCTTGAAGTCGCCCAATCTACTACTCTCCAGCGATTTCAATCGATACGTATCCAATCTTGTCAGCGCAATCTCCTACTCTACTACTATCCTAATATCCTATCGCCTACTATCCTAATCTCCCGAGTCGCGAACTATGAACGCGGCCTTACTATTCAGAAGGAAGCGTCATGATTAGAATAAGGTGCACCGTCCAAAAGTAAGACTTCGCGGAAATGATCAGTCGCCAAACATAAGCGATACTATGGGTGCATTTTGCTTCGTGAGGATAGAAAAGGATAAAGCATTTGCCGTTGATCAATCCCTTTTGGGATGCGGCACGCATTCTACTTCCATTTGTACATTCGTAGTGGCGTTTGAATGCGATGGCCTATACAATGACTTGCGGGGCCAGCCGATGTTACAAGTCAGTGTTTTTATCCCTCCCAGACAAGTCTGGTACCAATTAACCGACCCCGGAGGGATGGAAGGCTTGGTTGGCCCGGGCGACTCACGACCCAGGATTTGATCCCCGGACCGCTCGCGTGGTGAAGCGCGCCACTTGTCACTACACCACTTCCGCCCTTTGGAGAAGTGATTGCATTTTTATCATCGGCTGATGTGACGTTACAGTAATCCGGTGCGCCAGCACACTACGTCATGTTGCGTGGGGAATGAAATTTCACGCGGGCTACACTCAAAGGCCTATCACAGACTTTGCGAATCGCGCGATTCGCAGTCTGCGTCGCGTCCGGCCAGCTGAACACTGAATTGCGCTGTCTGCCGCAAACGCACGCGGACGCTAGCGATCCGAAGCCTCTGACATCCCATTTAAGGTGAGGTGATTTGAGGTGTTATTCAATGAATTAGCTTCCCTGGAGGCGGTCAACGATGTGTACACTTGTGACACAGCAACCTATCTATGCAAAGAGTATTCCAACACAAATAACTATTGCTGAAATAGGTTCCTAATAGTTCATCGTTGACCGATGTATTGGGATATTCGGAAAGTTTCCGCCGATTTGACCCTCAAATTCAAAAGCGCATATCTGATTCAAACAATACATTTTGATCGAAGCAAATTACAATCCCTCTACATTCAATTACAAGAGGAGTACTTCACTAAATTATGATGTTGAAAGTAACGGACTTCTGTAGGCGAAGAAGTCAGCGAAGGTCATTTGTTCATCATGTTTGGTCAAGATTTCACACCTCCGTCTACTTCGCACCTTGCCTCGCACATACCCTCGCCTTCAAATGCCCAGAAATTGTGCAGTTGCAGGAAATTGCGCATTTAAAGCAACAGTTCAGGAACGGTTTCGCGGGAAAAAACCACCAATAATGAAGTTGTAGATGAAAACCAGACGATTAATGTATGAAAAACTGGAAAAAAACGTCGGGGAGGGTCTTAGACAGGTACTCTCCCTCTGCCGCTCAGCAATGGATAAAGACGCACGTTGGACGAGTTGTCTGAACGTGCCCGCTGTAAACGCGCTCCATTTTTCAATCAATTTTCCCTGTGGTCCCAAAACGAGCACGATTGCCGACGCGTCCAATGACGGCCGGCAAGGGGGCGGGATTGGGGAAATCCCCAAGAACACCCATGTTTGAGGGACTTTCCACCCTGTTTTTGAGTTTCTGAGGTAAGTTCGTTTATTATTTCCACTGCATATGTTCTTCACTAGGGCTCGTGTATCCCTCAGTAGTAGTGGCATTGAAATTTTCGGACCCTCCCTGAACTGTTGCTTTAAGCAATTCAAGGGCGGTATTCAATCCTTCCCCCAGGGGGATATATCCCCTCCTCTGATTCAATCCTCTGGGGGGACAAAAAAGGGTTGCGTCATAGGACCTAGCATACCTCTGTGTTTCTACCTGCCAGACAGTTAGAGCAGCGCTACTACCCTCCACTGATGAAGCACTCTTTCCCCTGAGGGGTCGCGCTGCTCTAACTGTCTGGCAGGTAGAAACACAGAGGTATGCGAGGTCCTATGACGCAACCCTTTTTTGTCCCCCCAGAATTTCCAGAGGATTGAATCAGTAGTGGGGGATATATCCCCCTGGGGGAAGGATTGAATACCGCCCAAGAGCATCTTTGAGCACACGTGATGTCACCTTTTCATCGAGAATTTAGCCACGTGTACCAATCCCACGTCAATTTCTGCAATTGCACAATTTCGGGTCAAACTTTGAAATGGCGAGTATGCAGAGTGCCTGGAACCTCACTTAATTGCATGCGCTGCATTCGCTGATACGTCCCAGCTAATCGTTTTTCAAATGCATCTTCCACAGGAACATGGGGTCATTCCTCACACAGTTGTCGAGTTTTTTGTGCTCACGAAGTCCAATGTCTCTGTAATCTGTTGAAAATTTCTGTTCCAGAGCATGTCCTAGTCCGGCGAATTCATTTAATAGAAGGAACACATATGTATGTTTCCGTTATGCTCCTCCAATGTCGGTGTTGGAATTATATTCAAGATACGCTCGATGTTTTCCATTATTTTACGACTTTTCCATGAAATTTTCTTCACAGTTTCGCGTCATAGAATAATCGCGTAAGAAAAAACCGTTGCAGTTACGAGCGGACGACGAGAAGAGGAGCTCTGAAGTTATACGATAGCATTTTTTATAGAATATGAATTATTGCAGCCTGTTAAGAGCCGTTTCTCTTCCAATTCTGTGTCTTTAGCCCCAAACGTGTTGGTCGTTCAGAGATCTGTGATTCAGTGATAGGGAGGCATGGTTCGAATAGTTGTTCATCAAGTTCTCATAATCATAAATTAATGATTCAGTTAACGACATATCTGAAATGACAATCACAGTCACGGCCACAGACGCGCCCTATTGTGGAATTTTCAAGTTCCTAAGTGTCATGGTTAAGTTTTTGGCACTATTCAACTATTACAACCCCAAAATCTCAAAATTTTATTTTTCGTCGAAACTTCCTCTATAGGGGTAATTCGGTGCCCTGATTACGAAAATGACATTCATTTTCATCGTGGCGCGCCATCTGGCGCCAGTTTGACGTCACCTTGTTTTACAAATTCGGTGTAAAGTTCTGTATAGGGGTTATTTGATGTCCTGATCACGAATATGACATTCGTTTTTGACATTACCGCTGTTTACCGCATACTTCCCGCTTTTCTGGGCTCTCTCACCTATACATAGCGCCTTGGGACTAAGCTTAGGGGATAGGGAGACTCGGAATGAGTGAATCAGGCACCGTGTGACGAAGATGGAGCGTGTGAGATCACAGGTAGGAGGGCTCACTCACTGATATCTTTCCTCTCTCCTAAAGCTTAGTCCTGATCGCGATCTAGTCACTAGGAGGGCGCAGACGAAGAGATTAAAGCGCTAAATGGAGCTAGCGCCAAGAATGAATGTCATATTCGTAATCTGGACACCAAATTACCCCTACCCAACAACTGTCGTTCACAAGGTGACGCCACCTGGCGCCAGATGGCGCCCCCGTTGAAAACGAATGTCATTTTCGTAATCAGGGCACTGAATTACCCCTATAGACAAAGTTTCGACGAAAAATAAAATTTTGAGATTTTGGGGTTGTAATAGTTGAATTATGTCTTTTTTGTTGCTAAACTGCGTTAGAGATTTATTAGTGAGTATTCATCGTACGACAATGCTCGTTCTCAAAAAATGTGAAGCTGTCGCCAGTTCAAGTGTGCCAGGCAGTTGAAGTCCGGTAAACATTGTGCAAACGTCAAAGAATAACATTTACCAAGCTCAGTCTTCTTGAGTGAAAGATACAGGTAATGAAAACTGCTCCGTTTCTCATTCATATTAGATTGTTAACTACTTCTTTCTTTTACATCCTGGGCGTTGATGTCGTCAGATGGGGGGGGACGTTGAAGTGAGTGAGCACTTACAGAATTCCCGACCATACCTTAAGAGAGAAAGGATTCCTATTCCAGGGATAGACGTGAGAACCTTGTACTGATAAACCCCTCCTTGGGCCATCTTAGACTCACCTACCATCGGTGTTAAAAAGGCACTGGATTTGAAGTCCCCCTGAGGGCCATGCTGCCCTCTATGAAATGGAATGAATAGGGCAATTAAACTTGCCATTAAGTGAATGTTTATTCGACCAATATCTTGGGCTTTTACACTCCTTAGAAATCGGCATAATTCTCCCGAGGAATGGCGAGTAAAATCTTACTTTGGTCGTATTTTTTTCTCAAAAGACTTTACCAGGAAACTGCCGCATTGTAAACATTATGTACGCAAAAAAGTAGCCGAAAAAACAGATAAAAAATATTAATTCAGTATGATTTTTCTCACCTTCTTTCGAGGGAAATTACACACGGCTCCGTGGTTCCCGGTCCAGGACGCTTTAAAATTGTGTCCTTCATCGGTTGTCGTTGGCCGATTTTCGAAACTCTTTGCGCAATCTGATGCAATAGCCACTAGTGTTGTGCAGCCGCAGTTTCGGAATCGTTCGCTAAAGCTCTTCTGATGAACAATGGGCAAGATTCAGTTCCGTGATTCGGATTCTTCACAAAAAGTGTGGGTAGTTTTAATTTTTTTTTTTCTAAAGCTTTTTGGATTTGCACAAATATGGTTACATCCCTCACTGTTGCCTAGATGGGCAAAATCTCTTTCAACTATTATTACTGATAAAGCATTTCTCCATCTCCGCATTTTTTTCATAATTGATGCATTATATTTATAGTCTTTTTTTGGGCAGTTCTAGTGGCCCTGAATTTAATAACAATGAGTCCTACAACAGCATCTGCCACAGGTATTCTATTTCAGTGTTGGAGTGAAATTTAGCGCTGGTAGTAGTGGCTTTATTCGCCAGTCATCTCACATTCAAGTTATAAATGATCGTCTTTATGAAGAAGGAGCAAGAAACTGGACACCAGCCAAATGCGGGCCGCTCGATCAACGGCTGGTAAGTGCTACCAAGTATTTTTAGTTGATTTCTGTCGATCACGGAAAACAATATTTTCTTATTTTCGTGCCTTTGGTGTGGACCACCACGTTTTCGTTTTCATTTTTTTTCTTCTTGCTTTTCGCACATTTCCAAAAGATGGTGACTCTCCAAGTTCTCATGCTGAGCACTGACGACATGCTCCATGTTACCATCGGTAATGTGTTCGGTTGCAATTTAATATTTGTTTGGCTTCATGCCACATCTCCACATGCCCAATCCAACTTGCGATGGAGTAATAATTCAGTTGTGTGGGACACTTTGGCTATGTCGATCTGGCCTTTCCAGTATTTCACGTCGGTTATTTTAAACTAATCATACAAGTAATTCAATGTATTTGCAAGGTATGTTGTGTTTTTATCTGCATGAAAGGATCTTTTTTCTATGTTTGATGAGGGAAGGACGTTTGTCTTCATATGCTTCCATTTTGCTTTTGATACAATCACTTAGTGTATAGCAGACCACCTCGACACTCGGCACGGACAACGGATGACGATCGCGATCGCTCTATGGCTAGGCTTCAGGGTCCGCATCCCAAGAATTCGCCTATTTTCCATTTGCCGATTTCCGCATTTCGCATTTGCGCAATTTCGCGATTTGCGCGAATTTGCGCGACGCGTCACGTATACACAAAGGCCCCATCAAATCCGCATTGTTGTCAAATGTTTAATGGAGACTGCTCATGATTCCACTTGTTTCATATCCAGTGTTTCAATTGTTCAAATGGGGCACTTGCAATTTTTGTGATTGGTTTGGTTTGATTCCTGAAAAAAAAATAGGAACGATTTCAAGAGCATTTCAATGAACTAATAGACATTGAACATGAAACAAGTAGAACCACAAACATTCGTCTTCCAATCTTTACTGCCAAGCAGAATTCGCAGCAGGATTAAACAACACCTCGCAGTATTCATCGGGCACTTCCAACTCCTGTGATCCATCGCAGGTTTCGCGCAAATCGCGCGAAAATCGCGCAAAAAAGCAAGCCAGCAAGGCAAGAACGTGCTATCGTCATTCGCAAAATCGCCAAGAAAACCTCACGAAATATCGCCAAGTCGGAAAATCGCTCACCTACCGAAGTCGCGAAATCGCAAAAATCGCGAAATCTGCGGCGGATCCCGACTCTGACACCACCTATCCTTGCCTCTCGCCGCCGAGGGTGTAGAAGATTTGGTCGATGACATTTGCTCTACTGTAGGGTTCTTCTGATGTAAGTTTGTTATTATAAGACGTTGTGACAAATATTTTTATTACTGAATTTTGGAATAGAGTAAGCTTACATTCATACTACTTCTTCCTTTCCAGAATTGTGCTGGTCTTCTACTGAGCGAAAATCAGCGATCTCATTTTCTTAGACAGATCGCAAATCCTGATTTAAATTACCCACAACGGAAAACTCTCCATAGGAGCATCGTTGCGGCATGCAAAACGAACTTTTGCCTTAGATGTGGACAGAAAAGTGGTATGACTTATTAATGTGCTTCTAGAGCTATTTTCAATAATTTTCATATCAAGCCTCCATTTCAGAAGACAGAGGAGATCTGGTAGGCCACATTACCGGTATGACAGGGGTGAAGATTAATCGCTAAATTAAATTGCCACTTTAATCTCATAGTGTGCGTAATGACAGTAAAAAGTTCTTCTCTTCTTGAGAACACTTTCATAACAAAGAGAGAAGAATTTTTCATTTGTCACTCGCACACCTGTGGGATTAAAATGGCAACTTAGTTTACCTATGAGCCTTCACCCCAGCCATGCTGGTAACGTGATCTTCGAATATGCTCAGTCTGTTGAATATGATGCGTGATATTTGTGGGATGTTCAAGCGCTTATTCATGTTTACGTGTTTGGATATAATCCAATAATATCCAAAAACTACTTCCCAAAGTCATCTAATTAAGGAATTGTACGGAAGGCTCCAGGATCACTACTAAAAATTGCATATGGATGCGAGATACCTGAATCCGAGGTAAGTATGTCCATATTTTTTTTCCGCAATATCATCTGATTCTTTGACATCGCGAGTGACTTTGTTCATACCTCAAAAGTTATCGAAAGCTTAGTAGCAGTACCCATGTTCGCCTTCGCTCATGGTTCACTTTTCTAGAGATCTAGATCTTCTCATTTGATTGCCGTTCAGTATTTCCAACCTCGTCTTTTCATTTGATCAAATTTTCTATGCCGTATTTCATTGTTACAACCTATAATTTCCAAGAAGAAATCGTCGAATCTGCCGATTTGTAGTTCCGATCGAATTTGGTATAAAATGTATGGTGCTTTTGTCGGGAATTAATGCCTTTTCGTGAATTGAGCACTGAATAAAGTCCGCCGACGGCGTTTCAGAGGTTCAAGATTTTTTATGTTGATTTTTGAGGTTATATTATATAGCTGAACAGTACCGGCTTTCTCGAACACCCTCAGTGCTCCATTTACGAATGCAATCGATCCAGATTGTTTTTTTGGCATTCATAAACACACATTGAGCAAACGTTGGTACAGCTCACTGCCGACTATTGCAGCTTGCTGTCGCCGCTTTGGATTTTCAGAATCCTGTAATTGACAGAGGCTAATGAAAGAAGGTTAGGCATCGTTTGAAGTGGGCCCAACATTTGGGAATTGAAGAATCCGCGGAGGTACAGCTACACATGAGCTGATCGGAAAGTTCGGAGATATTAAGAATCGCGGAAGCGGACTGCGAAGTAGCTTTGGATTTAAGAAAGCTGAAGAATCGTTTCCCGATTCTTTGAATTTCCCTAAAATGCCGAGATTGTAGGAATTTAATTGTAACCTAGCCAACCTTTTTCACTGACTTTTGTAAACACTTGATGTGATTACCCTTTCCTCAAAATTCTATTTCTCCGCAGTCGCAGGCGACTTCAGGATAGAACTTGGACATTCGTCTCTGAGTTGTATGTAAAATGGAACTTGTTCTGGAGCTAAAAACCGACTATTTCGTGATGAGCCAACCCACCTTTTCAGATGTCCGAGTACTCTGCTGTCATGGAGGCTAATTCAACAATTCGCGATTCTCTCCACAGCACAAAGTTCACTCTTTTGAATCCGTTACGAGTTCAGAAGTTGTTTAGTAATGTCAAGGAAGAGGTATGTAATGTGTTCCCACTTTTTTCCATAACTTTTTTTTTACTGAACGTGATATTTATGTGAATCCAAGATGTGCCTCAGGATATTCCAATTTTAATGCTACGCTCAGGGGAGGCTAAGCACCCTAACGACTTACTTTTGACAAAGATTCCTGTGCCACCGGCATGTATTCGACCATCAGTACCGTCAGGTAGACTTACAATAGTATTGCTATCCCATTCTCATTCTAAAGTCTTATTTTTACTTATACTCTGAACATATATTTCAGAAACGGGAAGTGGATCAACCGAAGACGATTTGACAGTGAAACTTGCTGAAATTATTCTTATCAATAATGTGCTGCAAAAGCACAAAGAAGGCGGTGCACCTATGAAAACAGTTATGGAAACATGGGATCACTTACAGGTAGTTTTTACATTTAAACTCATGTATGGAAGTTTATGGCAGGAGACGTTCTGCAGATACAAGTTGCACTATACTTCAACGGAGAACTGCCTGCTTTGCCACCAGAACTGCGGCAAAAGAAGGTTGTCAATCGTTTATTTGGCTATTTCTTCATTTTTCTTGATCGAGATAGTGATAGCTTCGTTCCGGTGCACGCTTAATTTCCTTGCGACCTACACTGCGACGCATAATTATAGTTCCACCTACAATTTCAGTACCCGGCTGGATATCATTTTCTCACGATACGGCGCTTATCTCAGTCGGATAGTAATCAGGGTTCCTCCCAGTCATATCCTGTAGCATCCTTGAGAAATTTGTTCGTTATGAAGTCACCCCGACAAATTCCAGCGGAGCTGACACTTTGACAATTCCTGCGTCTCTTTTGCTAGGATTTCCCTTTTTACGGAAGTGTGACAGCGGTTTTGCCTTTGCTATAAGCTAAGGAACTTGAATGGATAATAATTCCAAATTTTGATTGGGTAAAAGCAAAATGCAGCGGAGAAGCTAAAGCGGATATTTTCGAAAAATAAGGATAAAAAATTGTTGCTTTCTCAAACTGGATTTCCGTGTTAATATTCAGATTCGCGTTTATATGTGTCACAATTTATCTGTAGAGCCTTTTCCAAAAACATCCCCAGATTCAAGTTTTTGGGAAATTTGTAGGTGGAACTATAATTATGCGTCGCAGTGTATATATTACTTACTGCCTATGTATTGCCGTATGTTTTGAGCACATTCTGTAAAGCGCTTTGAAGACACCAGCGGCGCCTCCGTCTGCGCTTGAGTTAGTGCGTTTGAGGATAATCTGGCAGTAGCTGTGAGTGTGTACAGTACTGTAAAGTAAGGTTCATTACCAAAAAATGTATAGGTCTTTATTGTTCACATTTTCTGTCTATATGACAGCAGAATCACCATGTCTTCAGCAATGATAAAATCCTAGAGAGCGATTGGTCTCAAATAAACTCAATTTAGTGTGTGTAGGCGTCGCGCGAGCCCGCACAGAAACTCCCAGACACGGCTTTCTTCCATCAAAGGAATCTTCCACGGAAAAAGCTCCGCCTCCATTACCACAGAAAAACGATACCCCTTAGGCCCCTAGCCTCATGAGCATAGCAAAAAGAACGGAACATAAGCGTTAGTTTCGATAATACTAATCCTACACACAAGACAAAATGATCACTCTTTCCGTGGAAGATTCCTTTAAGGTATCGTTTTCTGTGGTAATGAGGGCGGAGCTTTTTCCGTGGAAGATTCCTTTAATATAGGGTAATCTTGTTTCCAGCCATTCCGTGGTCTGTACCAACGTCTGAAGGGTAAGCATGGTCGTTTCCGTGGGAATTTATCAGGAAAACGTGTGGACTACACCGCCAGGACGGTAGGGTTTTTGAGTTCAAGAGCTCTTGAAGTTTGAACTTTATTTTCATTTTTAAGTTGTCTCAGGTGTGAGAGGCCCTCACATTCACATACTGATGGCTCCATCCGTCCTCATTGGTTATGGAGGGCGTTGTCGTGATCCCGAACCACGTCATCAGCAGGTGCAAATTCAAAATCAAACGTAGCAAAGATCTTCGTTACAACAATTGTGCACCACAGCAGTGTAATGACGAGCTTAATAATAGTGTTTGAAGGTGATATCGCCAGATCCGAATTTGAGGATCGATGAGGTTGGTGTACCACTTGAGGTGGCGCTCACTCTGACATATCCAGAAATCGTTAACGAATATAATATTACGCGCATGAAGAAGCTCATTATTTCTGGACCGGATACTCATCCTGGTGCTAATTACGTCGTCGACCACGTTTCTGGAGTATGGCGGTTACTCAATTAAGTGTTCGTTTTTGATGCTTTGGTGATGATCACCTATGGGAGTGAGGCATCCTTTCAAAGGCTATACATAGGAGCAGGAACTCGTGCAGAACTTAGTTTCTGCTTTCTTCGCCTCAGGTTATACGTTGACTGCAGCTCGTTCCGATTTCAGGCCACACTTTTTAGACTGCATGAGACGGCGTGATACGGCCCCGAGTCACGCATGGAATACTTTTCTGCGCTGCACTACGTTCGAGCCAGAAAGCACACTCATTGTAAGGCTGGTGTCAGAGTCCGCGATCCGTCGCAGGTTTCGCTGATTTCAGCGATTTTCGCGATTTGCGCGATTTGCGCGACGGGTCACGGTAACCACAAGTGCCCCATCAATACTGCAAGGTGTTCTCCAATGCCGCCGCCACTTCTGCTTGATAGTGATGGCTGAATGACGACTGCCCTCATGATTCCACTTGTTTGATATTATAGAATCTAGAATTATAGGATAGAATAGGAACGAATCATGAGCATTTCAATGAACTGATAGACATTGAACATGAAACAAGTAGAATCACGAACAGTCGTCTTTCAATCTTCACTGTCAAGCAAGCTTTTGCTAGGGCAGGATTAAACGCCACTTCCGCAGTATCAAATCGGCCACTTCAACTCCTTGTGACCACACGTTTCCTGCGCAAATCACCGAAAATCGCTGGAGAATTCAGCGAACCTACGGTTGGATCGCGGACTTCTTCACCAGCCTAAGACGGTCTAAACCTCCAATGTCGAAATGAACGGCTGCAACACGGGCGGGCTCCGTGGGTCGTGCGTCCGTCTCCATACGGTCAAGAAAGCAGCCAGCCGAAGGCAACGAGACGCTATGCGTCAATTTGTGTTAATACTATCAATGAATGCGTAGGACAGTCCAAATAGAGGAATGTTTATACAGAACCCGCTATGAGAAGGGAGAATTGAAGTTTCTGAAAAGTCTGAAAAATATACATAGCTATATGAAAACGAGAATTTTTAGATACAGCAACCGTGAAATGTGTGCCAAAAATTTGAAGGTTGGTGATATTGTGGAACGCCATGTTGATAACAATGATATCGTATTGTTCAATCGACAACCATCTCTTCATAAGGTGTCAATAATGTGTCACCGTGTAAGGTTATGCCAAGGAAAGACGTTTAGGTGAGTTGAGGGTGCGATGTTTCGTTCGATTTATGAGACGATTTTTTAGATTAAATGAATGTGTCTGCGCTCCCTACAATGCTGATTTTGACGGTGACGAGATGAATTTGCATGTACCACAGACACAAGAGGCGAGAGCCGAGGCCAGTCTACTAATGGGTGTGAAAAGTAATCTTGTTACCCCGAGATCCGGCGAGCCGTTGGTGGCTGCCATTCAGGTATCGTTTTCATCCATGCTTCCTCCATAACTTGAATGAAATTTCTTCTCTCTTACTTTCGTATCGGGAGCTGAGGGTTATCATTCCTTCAATTTAAACCTCGCCTAGAAGCAGCACTCCACTTTCATGAAGTTCCACTGAACAATCTTGCCGTGAAATTCGAACTTACCTTTTGTCCTTGTAGGATTTCATCACGGGTGCTTACTTAATGACACACAAGGACACCTTTTTTGATCAAAGTGAGGTACGTTTGAGTTATGGACGAAATCTCGTCGGTGTTTTGTTATGTTCCTTGTTTCTTTATTAGTTTTGGGGCAATCTGGTAAAGAAAGACTATAGACAAGAAACTATATACGGCTCGCTTCCGCACCATAATAGTTTTTTTAGTGGTCGCGATTGCATTTTAATTTGTTTGTGTTTACATATTTGTATTTGTATCATTTGTTATTGTGTTTACATATTCAGTAAGAACAGCTCTAAGAACGAGTTGATTTGTGGTTTGAAATCTTCCGGCCACCGTATCCTATGCATAAATAGCCACGTTTTAGGATAATATCACGATTTCTTCGAACGATACTCACTAGCCATTCTTGGTGGAGATTTTTAAGGGCATTTTCTGAGTATCGTAAACTTTCAGGCGCTGAGCTGGGCTTCCAATATCTTGGAACATTTTTTTTATTTACACATTTTTATTTATTTGTTTATTAACACGGTAGTCTCGCAGCATATTACTAGATAGCAAAAAGATACGCAAGCGAAATAGGCTAATGGTATGCGTCACTATAGCAGGTTCGAACCGATCTCATTAAGCCCCAGGCGCTCACATCTCATCCCTCTGCCGACTTTATCTCGAAATTCACGTCATAGGCTGTGTGCATTTTGCTTGTTCCCTATTCACTTGTTTTCCATGTCTGCCCTCTCTTCCTGCCCTCGGTGTTTTTTCTTCGTGGCTCGCACAGTGCTCGAAATCATCCGCAGAAGGCGCAGGAGGTTCCTTTGGTGGTTTCACCACATTCCGCAACTTTGCTTTCGTTTTCTAGCACTTCGAATCCACTGTTTGATATTTAGACCCCATTACTCTCGTCATGCCTTGGCGACATGTGCCTTCAAGAACAGATAAGTATCGTTTCCAGGCTTATCGTCTTGCCGCCTCCATCATAGACCATGATATCAAGAAACAAGCGCGACTTCGTTTACCAACGCCTGCGATTGTGAAACCGGTCAGGTTATGGACCGGAAAACAGGTTGGTCCCATTTTGCATTTTATAGAAGCCTTACAAGTTATACCTCTTTTCTACTTTCAGCTGATGAGCCTAGTTATTTCTGACGATCTTAAGAATCCAGTGAAACTGAATTTATCAGTGCCGAATAAAAGCTACACCTGTGGAAAAGAGCTTTGCTGTAAGGTAATTTGAGTGCTTTAATTGCCTCATATGTGATCTGTTATTTATATTCGCGTTTACTGATTCTCTTTCAAGGATTCATTCGTTATCATCCGTAATGGTGAACTATTGAGTGGCGTACTGGATAAATCACTGCTCGGTACCGGCTCGAAAACCAGTATTTTCTTTGTTCTTCTTCGAGATTTTAATGAAGATGCTGCAGTCGATGCACTGTTAGTTTTTTGGACTGCTTTGTACACTTTGTTTCCTGTTGTCCAAGGTGGGAGAGGGGGCGGGGAGAGGCCCGACTTAACTGCGAGTTAGCAACAACGGTGGCGTCAGCATCAACACCTTCGAAGAGTACGCATGGGATAGGCTTTTTTGAGCTCGCTTAATGCTTAGTCAGCATTTACGGCAGGTTCCGCCGGAAACAGTCTACCTGCAATGCGTTCCAGTTCCGGAGGTTTTGGAGAAGTTCCACTCCAAGTTTGATGTGCTTTTTCAAGAGCAGCAGTGATTATCACGAGTGAACCATTTTCCTGAGCTGAACTGTAACTAATGTTCATAAGTTATCAGCATACGACAGTGAGCATTTTTGCTTTTTCGTAACGTCGGCAAACGTTTCGGCATTTCTAGAGCCCGCCAGAAAAAGACCACCTTGTTCAAGGTTATCTTGAAGTGAACCGTAGAATAAGTATAAGCACTACGAAGAAAGTCTCGCATGCGACAAGGAGAATAACGGTAGTGTGGCATCATGTTGTGTCACGCTGTCCCTTGCCGTCACAACGTGTGGCACTCCATGGTATCACGCTGTTGTGAAGGTGCAACCAACAACAAATATAATAATAAGAGCAAGTTACCAATAGAAATAGTATAAAGTGATTGATCGGTAAGCGATAAACAGTTGTTGACTTTTGATACAGATAATTACAATTATTAGACTATCAAAAGACTATAGTACGGCGTAAATACTTCTGTGTGTTACTGAACTCAGCCCCTTTTGTTGGTTGAGGTGGCGATTATGCCGGCTGACAAGACTCATCTTTCCTTTCGAATCGGCTGGTTTTCTCTATAGGAATCGGTGATGTTCGGCCTAGCTTACAACTCTCTGAGGAGAAGTCATTGCTCTTACGCGAGGGTACTATTTTATCAGATACTTTTTCTGCGCCTTCTATGGGCAAAGTTATCTGTTTCCAGGTTATGAGAAATGTCAAGAGTACATTGCTCAGTTCAAGTCGGGGCAGCTCAAACCTCAACCTGGTTGCACCATGGAGGAAACCCTCGAAGCATCACTCCTCAAAGAACTTTCTTCGATTCGTGACAAGGCCGGAAAAGCTTGCGTGGAAAAGCTGTCGAAGTGAGTCTTCAGAAAGTATCCTTTGAGGAACGTAAGAAAAGTTTCGCTTGTTGCTGTGATTTAGGTACAGCTCGCCTTTAGTAATGGCAGTTAGCGGTTCCAAAGGATCTTATATCAACATATCTCAAATGATCGCCTGTGTAGGCCAGCAGGCCATTTCTGGTCATCGTCCACCGGATGGGTTCGACGTGAGCACCTTTTTTTCATTTTTCCTTTCTTTCTCAAAATTCTTCTTCCCGATGTTCTCTTGAAGACTAAAATTTGAGCAACTCTTCAGAAACGATCCTTGCCGCACTTCGAGAAATCGCAAAAGACCCCAGAAGCTAAAGGATTTGTGGAGAATAGCTTCTTCTCTGGTCTGACCCCCACTGAGTTTTTCTTCCACTCGATGGCGGGTCGCGAAGGGATTGTCGACACAGCAGTGAAGACTGCCGAAACGGGATACATGCAGCGACGACTAGTGAAGAGCCTCGAGGTGAGCCCATTAGGTTGCTTTCATACTTTGTGCAAATGCGGCAGTGCAGACAGTGGCGACAGTACGAAAAGCGCCAATATAGAACGCTGACGCATAACGTTTGACGCGTAAGGGATGCGTGTTTCATTACCCAGTCGGCAGTCTCTCCGATCTTGCGCCAGTACCTATGTGCGCTGAACATCATGCGCCAGCGTAGAATGCAGGTCAGGTATGCCTCTCCCATTTAGCGCCAGCCTCTTCAATTATGCGCCAACATCTTGTATTGGCGCTTCTCGCACTTTAAGGTGTCTGTTCCGTCTGGTCATCGTGCTATCTGCGCGTTCTGCACCGGCGCAAAGTCTGAAAGCAACCTCAAGCAAAAGCTTCCAAAAAATGTGATTGTGGTTTAAGGATCTCTGCGTAAGCTATGACGGTACGGTTCGTTCTTCTAGCGGTGATGTCATTCAGTTTGTTTTCGGAGAAGATAGATTAGGTTTGTTCAGATTTCCTTATAACCTTTATTTTGCGGGTTATTAAGACTCTCCTGTGCCCAGTCTCCCTTCTCGCCTGAGCCGTAATTCTAGTGGCCTTCGTCACGTTCGGTCGCGTAGTATCCGCTGCTTATCTAGTATGGGGGGGGGAGCATGCGCGGCGCGACGCCTCTGTTCGTCTGCTCCCCCAAGGCTTAGCTCGGATCGGCCAGCTTAGACCGACGTCATAGTCGGCGACGGACCAAGCGATGGAGCGATCGCGATCGCTCCATCGCTTGTCCGTCGCTTGCCAATCGCTCTCGGTCGAGCGATTGGCAAGCGATTGCGCAATGTGCAATGTGCACAAGCGACGGGCGATTGGCCCCGCCCCCAGTCAATGCAGTCGGCTGCGGTATCGATCGAGCAGAGCCATTGCCCGTCGCTTGTGCACTTGCGCAATCGCTTGCCAATCGCTCGACCGAGAGCGATTGGCAAGCGACGGACAAGCGATGGAGCGATCGCGATCGCTCCATCGCTTGGTCCGTCGCCGACTATGACGGTCGTCTTTAACTATGAGACGAGCAGTTGCGCCGCGCCGCCACGTGCCCCCCAACTAAGATAGCACCTAGTATCCAAGCCTTCTAGCATGATGTAAAACCAAAAGCGCAATCATACCCATCAAACGAAAATGGCACGTGTCTTCATGGATGACCGGTTGACTAGAGTCCTGTGATTTTCTCAGCATTAATTTGAACGAGTATCCCATCGGACGATCAGAGGTGGATCAGGAAGCGTTACACCGCGCTGTCGGACCCATGGGTAGGAATCCTACCCAGGAACAGTAATCCGTCTGTCCATTAGGTGTGGGTCAATTTTTGCCACATTCGCCTGAAGAATGGAAATCGATCACAGATTCGAAAGAGAACCTTCCATCATCAGCCATTTAGTCCGCTTTTCGTCGCCATCACAATCTTAGATGTAATTCCAATCCATGGCGCATCACGAACACATTGAACAGTTCTTAATATTCGTGCTTCATTTGCGCCTACCGCGTTGTGTTGTGAAATCCGCAAGGCATCATTCGGTTTTCCCGATGCATTGAATTCTCCAGGATATTTTAGCATGATAGTTTCCATTGTAACTTTTCTATAGATCCAGCACTAATGGAAGCTAGCGATGGCTACGTGATAAATTTTGCTCATCAATTAGAGCATATACGGAACACTATTCCATTCAACCATGATGAGGAGCTGGACCGGGCTGAAATGGAGGTGAGTGAAGATTCAGTTCCTGCGAATGAAGCATTCTGGAGCAGCAGCAGTGACAAGTTCAACCACCCAGCCCATGGAATTAAACTGGGCTCCTATCACTTAAGGGCCAACTGCATGGCGCAGATTTTTGCTCGCAAAGGTCGAGAGAATCAGCTATTACAGAAAATAGTTTGGTTCGCAGTCCATGGTTAATTTATATTGTTAGTGTCATTTCTGGGTCCCAACATTTTCATGTATTATAAATGATTATCGTTTTTAGACCTTGTGCAAAGAGGTTATCGAAGCCGAAATTGGAGTTTCTCATCCAGAATTTCGAAGGCGAATAGAGGCCTTCGTTGAGGAGATCATCGCCAAGTCCTCAGCTGCCTACAAAATTCCGAGGTTTTGTGGTGACCATTTGAAAGGGTTGGTATTTTTGCCGTTAGCTTTTTTCTTTTTGGTTTTTATTCTGATATGGTACGGTTGTTAATTCTGAGTGAAGTTTACGGCTGTTGATAATATTTTTCCGGCTTTCCAAACGTCTCACCTCTTCGGAGATGTTCTAAGATTAGGGGTGGCTAACATAGTGGGAGGACCCACGCGGAGCGATCGCGCCCGCTCTGGTTCGTGTGCCCTCTTAAAGCTTGGTCCGCCCATGGCGCTCGTCAAACTCGACCGTGACGACGAAACTAGTTACCCCCCTTGACTAAGACCGACGTCACACTCGGCGACGAACAGGCGATGGAGCCATCGCGATCGCAGTGTGGACGTCGGTCTAAGCCTTAGAGGAGCAGACGAACAGAGTGCCGCGCCGCCGCGTGGTCCCCCCCCCAACTAAGTTAGCACCGATAAGAAAGCGATCGGACGCTTGTCTATATTATAAGAGTTCATGTATATTCATTCCACTTTCCCTGATTCAGATCAGTATTTCAGAGTTCCCGGGGCCAGTCGAGAGATATGCACGCAGTGTCGTAGCCGGGAAAAATACAGGTGATGAATGGCTTTCGTTTGATTTCTTCTCTATTCACGAATTCTGCGAAAGATCCACTAATTCTTTTTGCGATTCCAATTCCATGTTGGACACCAGAGCTTTCAAGAGTTTCATTTGGTTATTCATTAGTGTACGTAAATAGAAATTTTCGAGAACGGGGCGATTCGACCGAAAAAAAAGAAAATTCCAACAACGCACAAGTTTGTGTTATAATAAAACTTCTTCAACGAAGGGATAGCTTTCGAAATAATCAAAACAGTTCTAGCAGAAATAAATAATATTACGCTGGAACATTTCTAAAAACAACTCTAGTAATTTATGGATTCCATTCGTAGAACTGAAGCATGCACGAAATTATGTTCCTGATAAAGTTTGGCTCATTTTCACGTAAGCTGCGTTTCTTCTCGCTAAAGATGCGGCTGAAAATCGTGAACATACGTACTGATTGCAGCACGGTTTTGCTCTGCTGTTGCTGTAAGCAGCTGGTTCATTTGTAGCCATTTTGGTGCTGATAGTGATGGAGTACAGTGGATTACTGTCTCTCACAAGCGGTTTGCTCGAAAAGACGACTGCCGAATGCTGCACGCTAAACGTTAGTACCGTAAACTGCCAATAGGCGTGCCGTCTGCACGGTGCGCTTATTTGCAGCTGGGTTAAGCTGTCAAGACGCGTTAGTGCTTTTCGGCTCTTTTGTCGCAAAACGATCTCAAACCAAATAAAATGTTGCTTGAACGCTGCTCTTGAAGTGATTTTTTGTGTGAGTCATCTTTATTTCAGGAAGACTCAAGTGCTGAGGCACTGCGTCTCTCGCGCTCAGTTAGCGGCTTTTCTTGAAAAATGCTGCTGGAAGCTGAAAAGAGCTGTCATTGAACCAGGAACAGCAGTGGGCGCAATCGCGGCGACTAGTATTGGTGGGTCATCTAAATTACTTTAGTTTCCGCACAGGTAATTTGCTGGGCATACTCGGCTCTTTGAAATCCTGTCAAGAGGTTTTACTTGCTTAATTTTGTCTGAAACGACTTCCTAGAGTTGCGGTGAGAATTTCGTTAAGCTCTCGACGCACAAGGCTCTCTTCAAGCCACCTGAGGCCGCCTGTGACATGTCTCACTTCGAGGTGAATCGTCTGAAAGTTGTCTTCTAGTGTCATACCGTCCATTCAAATTTCGCAGGGGCACTGCATCAATTATCTGTGTATAATTTTGAGTTTTTGGGATAGAATATCATGACACGAGGCGACCACTCCATTCGCTAGATGAATCAACCTGTCGTGGGTGGAATGGAGCCCTTCCGAGAAGGCAGAAGTTGTGTCGTTCATGAGGCCTGGAATTTGCGCCATGTATCTTGCTCGCCTCTGTAATCTCTCATCTGTTCTCTTCCTCGGAGCCCACAGTCTGAAGAATCTTGGCCACCTCAAAAGGAGAATTTTCAAATCAGCATTTCTATTTTTTGTGGTACTTTCGACCGTACATTTTCTTTTCGAGCAAAATAACCACAAGAGGTGGGCAGGCCTACCCGGCAATTTCACGTTGATTATTTCAATCGAAAACACACATATTTTCATCCTTAAGGTTTCCGTATCTACTTCTACTACTATTTAAATCCTTCACATTCATAAAAAGAAAAAGTAAACGAAAAATTTATTAAACTGAAGATTTCGTATGGTTCAGAAATCCTCCTCTAAATTGAAGCATACGTGACCATTCTAAGGGCCACTATGTTTGTAGCTACGTCAAGGTCTCTTCCATGGAATGAATACAAGAAACTTCTAAAAGAATCAGGCGTGCGCGAAAAAAATGAGTGTAATGGTGCGGGGGATATACAGGGGTGGCCAAAAAAAAAGAGACACTCAGCCCATGGCGCACATCATCGAACTTTTCGTCACACAGGGAGCCGATGTTAATGAAAGTTTTATGGCGTTATATTCCTTAGTTGTTCCTCCGTAAACAGAAGCAAGCACTCCTTCACTGCCCCTGCCGTCTCCAGAATATGACGTCATCTGCCGTCACCGTCGAGCTCAACGAGGCTTACCGAAATCGCTCCGACCTGAAGCTGCTACACAATTTCCTCAGTGAATTAATTGTTGAATAGCTTCCTAGAGACATTAGCTGTGAATGTGCAAAACCGCTTTTGACCTGCGTTTCAGAGACGTCGTAATCGTCTATGGTATCTCAACGACCTCGTTGAGATCGTACCGCGCACAATGCTTCCGTGGGAAAATCTTCTGATGTCGTCGGTGTAGAAGGCTGTTGTGTAGCTTGTTGATAGATTATAACGTGCTCTTCAATATTCAGTTGGGGTCATTTGGTTTGGTTTCGCGACGCGTAAATAATTCCGTTTTGAATGTTGAGTGAAGTGTCTCTTTTTTTTGGCCACCCCTGTATATCCCGCACGGTCGACATGCCTGCAGTGCGCGGGAATAGATATTGCTCGCGTTGTCGTCAATGTGTTAAATTACTCTTCGTTTCGATAAATTGCTTTCTGTAGACAGATACTTTACCATTATGAATACATTTGATACTTTCCAAATTCTCTCTTCATCGAACCTCGGCATCGTTGTTAAGTTTGGTATTTTTCTACTGCCAACGAGTTTTATAGGTGACAACTCTATCCCGCAACAGTGCACTCTAAGTTTAGTATATTTTAGTAACAACGAGAGACACAATGGGTGCGAGGCGTTGCCGTAATGAAATTCGTCGCCTGAACCCGTTGTGGCAGATGAAAAACCCCAAACATTCGATAACCTTTTGTGAATAATGATTCATATATGCAACTAAAATTCCTCCTCGCATGAAGGCATCGGGGCGAGTGCCTCGAAGAGGCGCGGTGAAAATATCCCCACTGCCCTCGACGTGAAATGTCGCGCTACGTAAAAAGATGGCGTCTTCCCACCCCAAACTGTCTTGGAGTGTGCTTTTGAAGAGATCGAAAATCGAGGGTGATTTTCAGGTGAACCTTCTACGCAGATGACATTAAAAACGTTTCATTTTGCTGGTGTGGCGTCGATGAACATCACACAAGGTGTACCGCGGATCAAAGAGATAATCAATGCAATGAAGGCAGTAGGTTTAATTTGCCGCTTCTTTTTTTCGCTTATGAAAAAGGTGTAATATTTAACTAGGTATCAACACCGATTATCACCGCCGAGCTCGTGAACAGCGCGAGATGAGAAATTAGCGAGACAGGTGAAGGCTCGACCTTGGACGTACCGAGACTTGGTAAGTTTAAAGATGTTTTTGTTCTTTTATCGGCCCAGCTTAATTCCCTTGAACTCGTTTATCTTATAAACATTTATACAAGGCGAAAGCGAGCAGTCCCTTTGATGGATGTACTGTAGAATTCACTTGGGACCGTACTGTACGTATTTTCTCTATCTAGAAGGTTATGAAGACTTTTGAATCCGTGTTGGGCCCAAGCAACAAGTTACCTGGGTGAAATTTGGCGACTATTTCTAGATGTAAGATTTTTTGATGGGCTTTCTACCAGCTCATCAACTCCGTCAGACCTATGTAGATGGGGCTCGACCCTACGCGTCAAGTGTAATGTGGTGATTTTATCCGCTGCTCTCCTTCCCTTTTAGACGCGCAAAATCAGGGATTGGACCCTACAGAGAGTCGCGCCCAAGCCAATCAAGCTGTCAGTCTTATCGCGGTCGATCAGTGTGCGATGTTCGTCTGAAGGGATAAATGCTTTCGATTTCACAACCATGATTTATTGTTTAAGCCGGATACGTTTTCAAATGCAACTGCTATGTTGGTTAGAAGTCTAAATGCGCGGCTACTTTTTGATGTGAAGTGGTCGTTAAGCATAGAAAGTTTTCCATAAATGAAAGAGCGGAGCATTCGGAAGCACTAGCTTCTGTCCAACATAGCAATGTTTTTGAAAGCGTATCGGCCTATACATCAAATCGTGGTTGTGGATTTGAGTGTGTTTATCCTTCGACGAATATCATACCACTGTTCAGACCACGATGGATTGAAGGTTTGGTTGGTTTAAGCGCGGCTCGATCTAGACACATCCTTCCACCTTGCGCGTGTCTCTTGCAACTGCCCTGTCTCCACCCGTCGTGCTCTATGCTTTTTTCGCTCTATTATTTGAGTCGTAATAGCTTTGTTATATTTTACATATAAGTAAGTTATACCAATAAGTTTTTTTCAGGCGAGATATGTGATTACATTGAAGAGGTCGTTAAGCCGGATAGTGTATTTTTACTTCTGAAGCTGAGTGCGAAGCGGATTAAATTGCTCAATCTGGAGGTGCGTCATTCAGTGTGATTTGTGATCTTGTTCTCAGAATGGATCTGGCTAATTACTATCAATCCAGGTAACCATGTCTGGTATTGTGAAGAGCATTATAAGCTCGAAGAGCTACATCGCGATCAAAGCATCACAGGTGATTTGGAATTTGATGAAATATTGTTATACATAGATTGAAGTGTAATAGGGGAGGGACGGGGTAAGGAATATGGAAATCCAAAAAATGATCGAGGTAAAAGAGGATGCGCCATGCTTTTGAAAACCACTAGAAATCCCGAAGATTTTCAAAAAGTTTTATCGTGTAATTGCTTCATTTACTAAAGCATCGATTAGATTAAAGAGGGCAGGTTGGGAATATGCACACACGATCCAGTTTCTTGTTGCCAGGGAAAAGGCGGGGGGGGGAACGGCTTGCACCACCGAGAAATTTTTTGCGCTGGTTGCTGAGCAGGGCCGAAAGCACTCCGCCCCTAAACGATCCGCCCACTAGTGTTAGTTGATGATTTGGGCGAGCTGCGTTGCCAGCAGGCGGCACAACTGGAGCATCTTGATTGGTGCGTGGTTTGGCATAGTGCTACCAAACGCGTGCGATGAACTCGTTTATACGTCCACAATCTGAGGTGTTTCTTTATCGTTAGTGAAAACCAACGGCCAAAAAAGGAGGTCCCGTTTTGCACTTTTCTTGACGAGTTTCTCCGCTTTTTTCGCCACTGTCGTACCACTGAGCACCACCAGATCTCCTTTAACCCTTCTTGAATTTATCGAAATCGCTGCCTTACTGACGTCGCTCCACTCAGTGATGTTAACGTCGTAGACTAGATTGGTACCGATCTTGACCTCTGAAGTATGTTAGAAGACTATTTCTCTCCTGGAGAACTTGATCCAAGTAAGACCGTAACATTGCTTTTACCGTAGTCCCACCTCTTACCTACTATCGGGATCAAGAGGTTTATCACAGAAGTGCTCTGTAGCAACACCTACACTGGTTATTTCTTTAGGCAATCGTGCGATAGAAGTGTCACAAATGAGTAAGAACCCCTCAGCAACAGAATGACTCGGCTCAGGATGTAGTGCATACTTAGCATTTATTAACCGGCTTGAAATTTTCAGACTTACTGGCGTCACTTTGGGGTTACCCAGTGTTGAGAGTGTGAAATCGCGTTACAGACATAGGTCAGTGAGCTAATCTTCCAAGGCTTTTTTGACATTCCTCAATTCAGGGTGGGTATCTGACCAATTTTTCGCAAATTCCATTCCTAGGGATCTATGTCTTTATCATTGATGCTCAAATTCAAAACTGCTTCCCCTCCTGAAACCTAGATAACCCATACTTATACAGTTTCCGAGATTGTGGGTGGAGTTTGCGCGGTGGGCGGAGTCGGAATAGGGCTAATGCGGGGGTCCATGGGCCAGGGGGATATCGATTCGTTTTGATAATATGGAACCTTAAATAAAAATTGTTCTACCGAACAAGTGGGCTGTAAGAAAGATAACCTGATTTATTATGCCTTTTGTTCGCAAGTGATGATGATCAAGGTCTGTGTTCAGATAACCGTTGTCGGTAAATCGATGCTGATAGTTCGACCATCAAGTGATAACAAGCGCAATATGTTGATAACACTCCAAATCATGAAGCAGTCGCTGCAGAAGGTCATCGTCAAAGGTACGTAGGTGGTTGGTTGTCAGCTGTCGTCTTGGGTGCAAGACATCTTTAGGTTCTTCGGTCTCGTTGAGCCCGGCATCTGTGCAGTTCCTATCTCGCCATTTGAGTGAGCGGGTTCACGGACTTACGTGTAGGGGCCGTGCGTCTTGGTAGAAGTCGCACGGATAAGGTGTCCAACATTCTTCGCTGATGCTGGAGATCAGCAAAGCATGCTGGGACTCGCTCATCCACGCCACTTCTAGCAAGTGGAGCGGCCGCCCCTCTAAAGACCCACCTGCTCAGACGGCTAGATATGGACTGTACACTTGCCTCCGTAGCTACCATAGCTCTGGCTACCTGAATTCGACAATACGAAGTAAGAATTTTTAGCCAAGGGGCTCGAAATGATTGAAGATTTTTCAAAATCTAATCGAATGCGGCTATTCCTGGCACCTGCTCTAAAAACGAATTACAACTATTCCATTAGATTAGTCACCAATGCTTGTAAAACTAACCTACCTTCTCTTACTAATATACACTTTCGCTAATCGGCAAGCTTCGTACCCAGAAAAATCTGTGAACACCACTCACAGTAGCCAGTCGTACGAACAACTTTCTGATGCTCAACGAATTTCACAAAATACTAGTGTCCAAGCTAGGAGGTTTTGCATATGATTTCGGTAAATCGTTCTATACGGGTAAAGGGGTTGGCTTTCGCTTTTTTAAAGCAACAATCCCAGGACGAATTTGTGGGGTAAATACCGTTGATAATGTAGTCATAGGCGACAATTTCACACGCGATATGTGACAAATAAGAAGTCAAAGAAAAACGCCGAACAGGGCTTTATAACAGGGACTCCCCTTCTGCCGCTTAGCGATGTGGGAAGACGCGTGTTGGACGAGTTGTCTGAACTTGCCCGCACTAAATGCGCTCCAGTTGCATAACACTAACATAATTACATAACACTATACATAACATAACAACATTACAACAACAAAAAAGAAACAATTCAGTGCAACAGGCAGGATCACATTGATTACTTTAAAGGACAGAGTTCAAATACTCCCTGTGGTCCCAAAACGAGCACGAATGCCTCCGTAGCCAATCACGGCTGGCAAGTGGGCGGTCCCGAAGAAATCTCCAACCACACCCATCTTTGAGGAGTTTAGCGCCCTTTTAGGCCTCTCCCAGGTGAGTTTTCTTCATAACTACACTTTAGATGTTCTCCAGTAGGGCTGGTGCATCCTTTAGTGCCATTAGTTTTGAAAGAAGCGACTTGCTGACTGTTGTTTTAAGTCCCAAAAAGTAGCATCGCAATGTCGTCTCTCTGATATCAGAGAGATATGATTATAGGGAACACATTGAAAAAGAAGGGAGTAATCGTGTTCTTCTTAGAAAGTGGAGAATTTTTGATATAGTGGCTTATGGCGGTTTTCTGAGAAGCCATCGCGGGTTAATCTGCTGTTAAGAACGCCTCAGGTCGTGTTCTTTCCAGGTAGTATTTACCCAACGCGGTTCTTTTCGATCGTTAAGAATGTGTCCAAGTCGAAAATGCTGCTGCTCCCGAACTTCTTTTTTATTCACTTGTGTTTCCTTTCCATTGTTTTTGTGACAACCAAAGGCATAATCTTCCTTTGGTTGCCGTTTTTATGAATGAGTCCATGAGCAAAGCAACCAGCAGCGTCATGCTAACTGCCTAGGCTCATGTAGACCGCAAGTGTCGTACCTATTTGAATTCTCGGACTTTCAGGTCTTCCGGATGTAAAACGTTGCGTTGTGCGTGCTGACGAGAGGAATGGTGACAAGTACAGTATCATCGTTGAGGGCAATGATTTCCTCCGAGTTTTATCTCAAGTTGGAATCGACCCACGCCATTCGAATATGAATAATGCAGTAGTAGTGGCCGAGGTAATGTTACAGTATTAGTTTTGCTTTATGAACTTTAAGAAGATGTTTTGAGTCATAATAAGCGGGGTTGAAGACGGGGGGGGTAGGAGTGAGGGTTGGTGAGTTGGTGGAGGTCATCGAGACATGAAGTGATGGAGAAGAGTCATAGAGTTCAATAACCTCCGAAATGTTCTGGCACAGAGGCTTTAGTCGCGCTGTGAACTGGAGGGTTAAAGTGAACTGGTCCCAGTCCGTTCATTATATGCCGCTGCCGTGTATCTGTGTGCTCTCCAAGACGTGCCCTTTCGCGTCTTGCGGCTTCTGTGCGCGTCGTGCCTCATCGGCGACTCACGGTCAGCCTTCCAAAAAGCTACATCCCGTAATTCGAGTGTTTTTGAGTGTCTTTGGCTCCTATTCTCATTTACTCAGCAGCTTTCAGCAGAAAGTAATTGATCCCAGAGATAATAAAAACGTTGGTTGAAGTGGATGGGATCCGCTCCTGCGAACACTGCCAACGGTTTATTACAATTCTTGTCTCACTTCCGCCCACTACGTGATAAAGGGACAGCATCTGCTGGATAATTAGGCTGTGGGGCCATATTGAAGGTGAATGTAGGATATCTATTTCAGTTACCTGTTTTATAGGTGCTTGGAATCGAAGCGGCGCGTACCTGCATAATCAATGAAATTCTCACAACCATGGAGGCTCATGGTATAACTTTGGATAGAAGGCATGTAATGTTGCTGGCAGATGTAATGACCTATCGGTAGGCTCCCCAATTCATGTTTATTTTTTGTTAATTTGTTGTTCTATTTATTGTTTTTGTCATTTATTTGTTTATTGTTATCATTTTGCTTTACTGTTCTAAATTTCTCATCCAATTAAAAATTTGAAGCGGTGAAGTGCTTGGCATCACACGAAATGGTTTGGCAAAAATGAAAGACTCAGTGCTGCTGCTGGCGTCATTCGAGAAGACCATGGACCATCTGTTCGAGGCGGCGTTCTACTCGCAAAAAGATCCAGTCAGTCAGCTGTTTGGTTATTTATGAGAAAATATAAGCGAACGCATATGACTTCTGGTGTCGTTAGGATACAGTAACCATGTGATTATGCCGATAAAACTAGGCTTTTTTCCAGATCCGTGGCGTGTCCGAGAGCATCATTCTGGGTGTTCCGATATCGATCGGTACCGGAATGTTCGGATTGCTTCAGAAAACGCCCACACCGGCAACTGCTTCGAAAGTGCCTATATTTATGAAGCCCGAGTTCGGACTCAAAGTTTGATTTCAGGCTTTATGTTTTTTTTTGAATAACCTGAATGATTTTTAACCAACAATAGATTTATTCCAAAATTTTTCCGATGGTTGTTAGCATAACATGTGGGCAAATAGCTCGAGTGAGGCTTTAAGTCTGTTTCCTATAGAACGTAGATCTCAAACTATGTTGATTATTTGTTGTTGTTGTCGTTCTTGTTTTTGTATTTTTTTCTCGAATTTTTATTTACGGCAGTTCGCCCGGGGAAAACAAAATTTGCGACGAGCTTCGAAGACGTGTCTGATTAGGTCAAAGCTGTTGTCTCAGCCAGGAATGAAACTTGGACTTCAGCTTACCAGGCTGAAGTGCCACTATGATTTATTGTTGTCATTTTAGTTCTAAGGAGTATCTGTCTATTTCAATTTCAAAGGTACGATATTCTTAAGTGGAATAATAAACGGTTTCAGCTCCGAGTTGTTAATTGCCAGCTTCTGTATGGGATATCCTTCCTTTTCCGTTGCCCCAGAAGAAAATTCTAAGTTCAATTTCAAGACTGCCCAAAATCCCTGGATCGCAAGTTACCCGCCCCGTAGAACCTTGTGTGCTTCAGGCCACCAGACACGTGTGATTATTCTTATGCTCTTCCAGGTGAATTGTATAATTTGTTCCTTTTGGCGGCGCTATAGCTAATTTTTTTTATCTCTCAAGGTGGGAAATGATAAGTTTTTTTTTCCTTTGCGGCGCTGAACAGTCACCCATGAAATTGATAAGAACCGGGTTACCGATGAATAACAACCGTTTCATTTGAGTTTTGCGATGTGTTGATCTGATAATCACGAGAAAGGTTACGGTACCGTAGTGATCTTTATGGCGAAGCTCATTACTGCCATAGGATGGAATTCTGTAATATCGCTCTGTCGAGTATTTTACCCCAGATCTACCAGTCAACGAATTACGTGAGGCGGGGGTGAGGGTTCAAAGCTCTCTTAGATGATGTATCGATTCAGTTTTCATGTGTTACGAATGTCAATTTAACTAGGTTCTATGCTTATTTTTAGCCTTCTTAGCGCACTGGGAACGCTACCCCCACTTTCTCGTCTCCCCGACCTCCACTTTCACTTCTCGCACCTCTCCGGGTCTGCGCAATCTATGCACATTACCCGCCGACTCGCAAGGTATGGCAACAGCTTCGAACTTGCTCCTTACTACCCAAGATTTGTAGAAATCAACATGAAAATGACCCAAAGTGTTTCGATTTCCGATTTTCGCATTCTTCCTTACGAGACTGCTTGGGTGAAATTCTGTTCAAGAGTACGTGAATAGCTTTTCTACTTCTAGCGGTAAGACAGCGATCTGGTCATCGCTCTGTAGTCGGCCCATCTATGTGGCCTTTGAATAAACATTACTGGTTTCCGTAAACAAAATGTTTTCATGACAGTTCCACAAAATTTGAAGGAGACCGCCAATCGAGATAATTCTGGTCACTACCTTATCGCTAGGGGTACTTCAGAGGTTTTGTTTCGACTGTTTTTGGGTATTATAAACACGTCTAGTTCATGCGACCTCTTGTGGTTCTCAATAAGAAGAAAAACCTCTTTTTCTATGGGTAAATCTTATGAATTGCACGAAACCCCCCATCCTCCAACGGTGTTATTCGACTTTTGTA